TGTTGGGGCATTTTGGGGTCATCTTGGCGGCCTGGGTGGCCTACCTGGACCGTCATGGAAGCTGTGGATAGCCTTCGAGTTCTCCATGGAGTCCATGAAGGCGTCAGGGCGACGCGGTGCACGCACCAGAGTGTGGTGAGAGTGGGGGGGGGCCTCAGACGACTCACGACGTACGCGAACCTTACCAGACAGCACTCAGCATTCTACCGTGCCTCCACCTGCCAGGGGGCACGGTGGCGCACACATGGGGTGCAAGTTGCGTGGTCTAACCAAGCGGTGCCACCTGTGCGGGGCAACCTGCGTGGTGCACCCTGCAACGCCAGTCAGCGCTCGCGGCGCCGCCCACGGAGGCGCCCCCGGGCGCCCACCAGGCGACCACAACTCGGAGACGCCATGCGGCGCACAAGGGGCGCCCACGATGCCCACGGGCGCAGGCCAGGAAACGCGCCGTCCAGCGTACGAGGCGCCCGCGGGGCGCCCACGGCCATCCCCTGCAGCCGACAACGCCGAGAGGCTGGCAAAGTGCTCCGCGCACGGGCAAGAGCCCCTTGCAGTCAACCCGCAGAGTAAGGATGGGCAGCCTTCCCAAGGGTACTCTTGCATCCGTGCCTGCCCGGCCCATCCTTGGCTACTGTTGTTGGCTGCGCCGCGCTCGAAAAGCTTCGAAATGGGCTTCCATTGCCCTTGCATCCTTACCGCGCCGACTGGAGCGCAAGCGCTGCTTGGGGAACACTTGCGGGCACATCTGCATTTGGGGACTGGCGCGCTGTCCAACCAAGCGATCGGAAGGTGCTCGCGCGCGACCCCGCTTCCGACGACTTGGCGAGGGAGCAAAAGCACGGGCCCCGAAACTCCCTGTGCGGCGCTTCAGCGAGCGCATAATTCATTCCCCTCGCTCGCGGCCACACTTTCCGACGAGAGCGGCGACGACGAGCGTCGCACCGAGGCGGGAGCGCCGCTTGAGCGAGAGCGACGTTGCGCCCGCTTGCGCGCGGCCCCGCCTCCGCTTCGTACGACTCGTCGAGCGAACAAGAGTGCGCCGCGCCCAAGCGGGAACGGAACTTGCAGGCGCAATCTGCACGGCGCTTGGGCGACATCGACGTTTCGCCCACTTGCGTGCGGCCCCGCTCCTGGCGGTTGGGCGAGCGAAGCACACTTGCCGCGCCCCAAAGAAGCGCCAGCTTCGAGCGGAATATGCGAGGCCTTGCATCGTCGGGAACACAGTTTTCAGAACACGTGTTCGTGGCGCTGAGGCTAGAGTGGCATTGCGCTTTCGCTCGCGACGTGAGCCGCGTCCGGCTCTTGCCACGCGTTTTGCAGCGTCGACCCTTCCCGTCCATGTTGAGTAGGAATAGCGTCGACAGAGTATTGCTTGATTGGGTAATTCGGCGATTCCCCCTGGATTGAGGGGCTATCAGCCAGCTAGGCGGCAGAGCGGGGCTACATCCTAGCACGAAGCAATGAGACTGGGGGAGCAGGATGATAGGCGGAAGAAGAGGAGGAAGATGAGGAGGAGGAGGAGGAGGAGGAGGAGGAGGAGAAGCAAGAGGGTTGATAAAACGCAGCCATGGATAAAGCCGCGTGGATAGCGACGGGCACCCGTTTCCGTTAAGATTCGGGGTGCTGCGTCACCACATCAGGCGGTAATGGGATCATGTTCGGGGGGTTACGTTCCCCGATCCGCGGATTTGGCGCCCACGCGTCAGATCCACGGATCCCTCATCCATGTTCGCGTGTGCCCGAGAGGAGCAGGACGACGCGGAGGAGGAGTAGGAGTATGTAGGAGAGGAATGAGGAGGAGGAGGAGTAGGAGGAGGACCAGTGTAAACCAGAGACTCACCACCGATGTCGCAAACATCCTTCCCTCCGAGTTCCCCCCCCTCATAGGCCCCTAGAAATACTTATTTTCCCTTCGGGAAGTGCCCCGTTGGAAAACAATCGTCGGAGCATCCTGAACCGTGCCAAAACACCATTCCTGGGACTGCAACTCCGCGAATCAACGTCACTGTTGTGATTTGAACACCGCGAGCCAACGTAACTGTTGCGCCCTGCAAGTCCTACATCGCGTCAAAGCAAACTTTCGGGGACAAACCCTTGGAACTGCTGTATACTCGTAAGACGAAGGTGCGCGGCGCTAAGGCGAGAGCCACATTTGTGAAAGGACCGCTTTCGATCCGTGAAGCTCGTGAAACCTGTTAAGACGACTGTGCGCGGCGCTGAGGCGAGAGCCACATTTTGAAAAGGAACCGCCCTCCATCCGTGAAACTCTTGCAGACCTTTAGTACGAATGTGCGCGGCGCTAATGCGAGAGCCGCATGTTGCAAACGACCCGCCTTCCATGCGTGAAACTCTTGCAACCGTTTATGACGACTGTGCGCGGCGCTGAGGCGAGGGCCACATTCTGAATACGGCCCGACCTCCATCCATGAAGCTGTTGCGTAATTCAAGCTTGAGGGTCATACATGTCGAGGATCATACATGCCTACCAGCACGTTTCGGGGTGCGACATGGGGGGAGCTATGCATCAAGCCCAACTGGAGGAGGAGGAGCGAGCGCGGCCCGCGGCGGCACGCTCCGAGCGCGCAGGGGGTCACATCGGTCTCGGGACTGGGGCCGCGCAGGGAGGAGGAGGAGGAGGAGGAGGAGGAGGAGG